GGGCGTATCAGAGAGATGGTGGGGAGAGACAGAGGGGTGCAGAGAAGATCCAAGAATTGGGGAGAGGCTGAGAGATGCACAGAGATAAAAAGAGAATCAGGCTGAGAGAGACAGTAGGAGCTAGAGATGAAGGGGACACAGAGAGATGCAAGGGATTAAGAGAGACAGAAAAAGGGGCCGGCAGGTGGCATGGTAGTTAAGGCGCTGGACTCCCACATGGCTGACTGTGGTTCGAGTCCTGGACCTGGCAGTTTGCATTCTTGCTTTCTCACTCTCCCTCTCTGGCCAAAGTTAGATAAGTAAATGGGTATAGTTAAATCAAATAATTCTTTAAAAAAAAGAGAGAGACAGAAAGAACCCCACACACACCAGACAGACAGCGGGGGAGCAGGAAGAGTGTGCAGGAAGCCCATCAGGCCTGAAGGAAATGGGGCTGGGGTGTCCAGACAGCCCGCAGCTCACTGGAGTGCTGGTCGCTTCTCACTTCACAGCCCACCCTCTGGCTCCGGCTCTGGGAGGCATCCCCACTCCCTGTGACCCTGCACCACCAGGTCCAGCAGGGCGCCCCCTGTGGCCTGTCCCCCTCCTGCCTTGCTTGGGGGGCGTGTCCTCCGCGCTGCCCTGGGGTACCTGCCCCTCCCGTCTCTCCAGCTCCCAACTCCCTGCACCTCTGGTTCCCTTCTGCCAGCACCCAAGGGGGTGAGGACCGGCCTGCGGGTTCCCTGTCCCGGTTGGCTCCTGTGCAGGCTCCACCCTTGTCACTTCCTCAGATAAGCACCCCATAAACGGCTGCGGCCGTCCAAGGCCCAGGGCCCCTTCAGAGCCCTGTCCAGTCGTCTCCCTCATATGACCTGCCCCCTGGGGTTCCTTCACGGCCCTCTGTCCCCAAGGTACCCTGGGGTCCCTTAAAGTGGCACCACCCCGGGGCATCCTTGGGTTCCCCCCGCCCAGGAGCCAGAACATGGGTGTCTGACGCTCCAGCCGTCCCCCTGCACAGGCCAGGGCAGGACAGACCCCAGGGGGACGAGGCCCAGGTGAGGACGTGCAGGGAGCCATCACTCTCTCTGCGCTCCGTAATGCCGAGGCCCGCAGACCATCCCCTTGTCCCCTCTGGCCCACTCCCGGTCACTGGGCTCCCCCACGGACCTCCTCACTCTCCTCAGACACGCCAGGCACAGAACTGGTTTGGAGTCTGCCACTCAAGCTCTCTGCCCGGACACTTGTCCCCAGGGTGCCGTCCCTCACCCTCACCATGGGTCCAGCTCAGAGGCCCAGGTGGAGTGGGCTGCAGCAGCTGTCCCGGCTCCACTGTGCTGACACCTCTCCTCCCCTGGGGCTCCCTCTCCCACTTCTCAGGCCACCCCACCCTGGTGACTGCCCACCCCATTTTACGGGCCTCAGTAATGTAACACGTTCACGGGTCCCTGGGGTTAGGGCACCTTTGGGGCCTTATTCTGCTCACGGTGTGGAGAGTGGGCCGTCCCCAGAGCCTGTTCTGGAACTTGGGCCCCAGTGTCATGGCGTTGGGAGGGGTGATGCCTTGTTGGTCGGCCACCGTGACATACTCCAGGCTCCTACTGGCATGTTTTTAGAGGACTATTTTTTTAAAATAATTATTTTAATGTGTTTAGTTTGACCAGAGAGGTACAGAATGGAGAGGGGGAGAGGTGGAAAGTGAGAAAGCAAGCCACCAGGTCCAGGACTTGAACCATGTTGGCCGTGTGGGAGTCCAGCGCCCTTAGCCAGCACGCCACCTGCCAGCCCCCCACTGGTACCTTTAAGGAATGGGCTGCACAGGCGGCCCCTGGAAACCTGCCCAACCCGTCAGAAGTGCAGCACCTGCCTGACTTCAGGCTCTCCACACCCTCCTGTCTGCAGCAGGGCGCTGGCGCCAGGACTGCTGGCAGTCTCCATGGTTACAGCTGGAAACGCCCTTATAAGGAGAAAAAGGAGGCAAGGTTTGGAATTCTGCAAGTCCCTGGCTTTTTGATAGTCCTCCCTTCTGCTACCGGAGCCCATCCCATTACCCCACTGCTCTGCCTTAAAATTCCCAGCTCGAGATGGAAGTGGGTTTGCGGACTGGCCGTGCTTCTCCACTCTGGCCCATTGAATAGAACTTGTGTCGTAGACACTCGGTTTGGGTTTAAGTTGGCTCAGTCACTCCAAATGGTCAAAGTATTCCTTCAGAATCTTTTTATTTTTCTTTTTTAGGTTTCTGCCATAGGGCACATGCATTTGACAGAGAAACAGAGAGGGAAAGTAAGAAATCATCCCTGTGGGGATGGCTACCCTGCAATCCCTTAATTTCCCTCCTGGGATTTTGGGCATGCATGCACCCGCATCCGCATGATTTTCAAGTTTCTGGGTCCAGGACTTGAACGTCAACTAGCCGTGTAGGAGCCCAGTGCATTAACCACTACACTACCTGCTAGCCCTGAGAATACATTCTCTAAAACAGTAACATCTTGGGGCCAGCAGATGGTGTAAGTTACATTGCTCGACTCACGTAGTCAACCACAGTTTGAGTCCTGGTCCTGGTGGCTTAAAACACACTGGATGTGTGTGAGTGCATACCCAAAATCCCGAGAGGAGAATGGAGCAGGAGGGATTGTGGTGTGGCATCCACCCTGGGGAGTGATTTCTTGCTTTCTGTGTCTCTACCTTTCTCTGTTTCCCCATGCCCTATAGCAAAAAAATCTTTCTTAAAAATTAAAACTAAAAACTAACATCTCTCCACATTCTCACCTGGGCCTGCTGGCCCAGGGCCTCCCCCAGGCCTGCTGCCTCTCTCACTGTGGCCCCTGTCCAGGTCCAGCCTGCTTTACTTCGTGAATGGAGAGAGCTCTCAGGAGGAGGGCTCGGTTCTCATGAGAGTGGGTTATAAGGGAGGATGGCTGCCCCTCTACTTCTGGCTGATACAGATGGCTTGATGCTGGCCCTACCCCACTGACTTTTCACCACCAGAATCGTGAGTCAAATAAACCTCTAATTCTTCACAAACCACTCGGTGTCAGGTATTGCTGTTAGCTCCACAACTGCGCCCGAAGACGGTACGAATCAATGAATGGCACCAGGAGAGGTCTTGATCCTTGAGCTCATAAAGTTCATCCCAGGCCACTATTCCCCTGGAGTAGAGCCTCATGAGGGCAAGGATTTGTATTTTCTTTTAAATATATTGCTAGTTTTTTTTTTTTTTTTTTAAGAATTGTTTGTTTATTATTATTATTATTCTGCTTAACCAGAGAGAGAGAGATGGGGGGGAGTGAGAAAGCAAGCTGTCAGGTCCAGGACTCGAACCACTGTTGGCCATGTGGGAGTCCAGTGCCTTAATTGCCACACCACTTGCCAGACCCATTTTTAAAAAATGTTTTTTAAAAATTTTGCCATAGGTACATGTGCCTGCTGGAGAGAGAGAGAGGGAGAGGGAGAGGGAGAGAGCCCCCTGGGGGTAGGTCACATGCAACCTCTTCTACATTCTCCTCTCCGGATCTTAGGCATGTGCACACACGTACCGGCATGTTCTTCAAGCTGCTGGGTCCTGAACCATGCAGTTGGTCATATGAAATCTAGTGTCTTGACCATCGCATCATCTACTGACCTAAAAATTAATTTTTGAGAGAGATTTTTGCCATAGGGCGCATATACTTGCTGACCAGAGACAGCGATACAGAATGCGGGAAATTACCCCTCAGGGGGGATGGCCACGCCGCAATCCCTTTTCCATTCTCCTCTTGGATCTTGGGCACGCACACACATTCGCCTGACATGAGTTTTAAGTCACCGGGCCAAGACTTGCGCAGCAGTCAACTGTGTGGGAGTCCATCGACGTAACCATTGCGCCATCTGCTGGTCCCCCCAACTTTATTTTTTAATTGCCAGGGGGCCATTGGCCAAGTGGGATCTGGTATTCCCTAGGCCATGGGGCTAGCTGTTTATTCTTAAAATGACTGATTTGTTTACTTATTTTAAGTTTGTTAGAGGGTGTGTGCACTTGCCAGAGAGAGACACAGAGAGGGGGACCACGAGAAAGCACCCCTGATGGGGGACGGTACACCACCATTCCTCCTCCGTCTCTCTTCCTTTTGAGATTTTGGACATGCACACACGTGGCCGGTGTTTTTCAAGTCGTTTAGTCTGGAACAGCAGTTGGCCATGTGACATTCAGCACCTTAACCACCATGTCACCAGCTGGCCCCAAATTATTTATTCCTCCCGTAAGTGAGCAAGAGAATGAGAGCAACCCCCCCCACACACACACACACACACAGACTCAGGGTGGGTCTTGACACCAGTCGGCCTCGTAGGCCCAGGCAGCCCTGGACTGAGCAAGTGTGTGCCTAGTGCACTCAGGAAGGCGTCTGGACTTGAACCAGGAACCTTCAGTGCGGTTGCTTTGTGGAGTGTCCTGTTTCACTGCCGCCACTCTCTGGCACCTTGTGCTGCTTGCTGTTCTGCCCCCATGAGGAACTGAGGCCCGGAGGAGTGAGTGACTCTGAGTGACTCTGGTCTCTGGCCAGAGCTGGCTCTGGGCCTCACAGCATCCTCTGCCTCTCCATGAGGGGGAGGAGCTGAGCAAGGGGCCCCAATGGGAGTGGGGGCCAGTGAGACACAGGCCAGGCTGGGAGCAAATCAGCAGATTTATTGAGGCAGCAGCGGCATTGGGGAGCAGGGGGTGTGGGGAAGGGGCTGGGGCCTCCTCGGGGTCCATGGGTGCAGGCCCTTCCCCAGCACATGACACTCGGGAGCCGGTCGTGGGTGCACAGGACCACGCCAGGCGCCAGGCAGACAGCCCAGGCACTCAGGCTGCAGGACGAGGGTGCACGGGTGCACGAGGACCACGCCAGGCGCCAGGCAGACAGTCCAGGCACTCAGGCTGCCTGCAGCCAGCAGCCCTTCTCCTCCACCTCCTTGGTCACCACCAGCAGCACCTCACACAGGCCCTGGGCCAGCGCGGCCGCCAGGAAGGCCCTGGTAGGAGAGAGCAGACTGAGGCCTGGCCAGCCGTGGAGTCCCCCAGGTGGTGGGGCTCCGGGGCCCAGGCCTGGCCTGGGAGTGACCTGACTCACCTGACTCCGTCCTCGTTCCCCAGGACCTCAGGCGCCCGCAGCTTGGAGTCCAGGTTGTAGTAGATGCCGCCCACCTCGCGGAGAGCCACCCAGTGCCGCCGGCGCAGCGGCAGGGACAGCAGCCCCAGTGACACAGGCGAGGGCAGGTTCAGGATCAGCCCCAGCACCTGTGGCAGGGCTAGCTGGGACAGGGGCCTGTGTGGGAGGAAGTGGGCACATGGTCAGGGCCGTGTGCCATAGGACAGGTGGCACGAGGGTGTGGAGCCTGGCCTGGCATGGGCAGAGGGGACCTCCGGGACCCCGCGTGGACGCGCCCTAGTCAGCGGCCATTCTGCTGGCCCCCCACCGTTTTGACCCTCCCAGCCACCCAGCTGCCCAAACCTCCCATCATCCTCCCGATGGCCAAGGCCCGTCCACCCAGCCCCACCCACCAGGGGTCCGTCCGTGTAGCTCTGACCACTTCCCCCAATCCCATCCAGACCTCCGGGCCCCCG